AGCTTTGACTCTTGTTACAGGAAAGCGACTATCATTATTACAAGTTACTGGAAAACATCATTTAAGAGAGTCAATTAAATGAGCAGGGAGTGGAAAGAGAAAAAAAAAAAAAAGACATTCTCAGATCTCATGTCTGCAGAAGATAACAGGGTTGCTGATGAGGATGATAGACTTCACTTCCTTAAAAAAAAAAAAGAATAACACATGCACTGTCATCTCGCAACACGACGCCTCCTCCTTATTATTGGAATGTCATCTGACTTACAGCGAAGTCTCAGGATACTGCACTTATTCATCACCAGCTGTCTGTGCACATGTGCGTGGGTGTTCGTGTGTGCACTCAATTGCGGTCCAGTACGTGGTTTAAAGCGTAACAAGATGCGGTGACTTGTGCTCATTGACCTCTCCCTCTCTCCAGATCCATCCATCCAGTCTAATAGAATTTGCCAAGTCAACAATAAACCTGATGGATTTTTGGTGTTTTTCTAATGAAAAGTCCACAGAGCATGTAATTTCACTAAAACTAATTGATCAAAGTAAATAAGTGTAAGATATTGAGGATCAGTGCTAATTTAATTAATAACGGTTATGTATAAAATATTGAAAGAAACGAAAATTGCCTCCTGCCAAAAATGTGTTCAATAAAAAAAAAAAAAAAACTGTCAAAAAGATTTTCCATCCATCACTAGATTATTGTTAAATGAGAGTTATAATTTACAGGCTGCCATTAAATATTGTCACAAAGCTGAAATTGCTGGGGGTTTTTTTTTTCAAATAGGATATCTGGTAGAATAAATAAATAAATGAAACAGCCTTTTAAATTTGGTGAAATAGCGAATGTTTCCTTCACTTGTTTTACGATTTTGTTACTCAAAATGATTGGGGCCACATTTGCCACACAGTGTCGATGCTAATTGTTAATTGTGATTATACAGGGGAGGAGGAAGTTATTATAACAACATATATTTTATTAATATCATAGAATTTAATCAGAAAAAGGCCTGTGTGTAATATAGCAAAAACAAGACCTTCCTACACACATATAGATGCACACACAAGACCTTTTCAAAATCCTTCTGACATTTACAGGGCTGGTGCAAAGGGGCGAGGACGGCTCATTTACATAATGATAGGACCAAACCCTGACACTCATTAACATAGAGAGAAAAAACCCCAAAAACAAACCAAGACCGAAACCCTTCGCTCCAACAAGATTAATGAGATGCCAAGGACTTACTTTTTCCTTCTTTTACTATGGAGAGAAAAACATAAACGCCTCTCATGATCCATTCTTCTTCATAGACAGAGTGTAGTACTCTTTCTCTCTTGTGATGATGAATGGTTCCAGGCTTGGCAGGAACTATACTTGTTCACACCATGCGGAGGAAAGGAGTTTGAGCTAATAGTTTGAGCTATTGCACTCAAAGGACTGCCAAAAGAAACATCACTACATTAGAGTCACTGAGTATCTACACCAAGTATGTGTGTGGGAGGGCAGGGTGAGGGCAGCTAATGTTGTAATGACTTTTGAAAATGCATTTTCACAAGTTATATTAGCTGGTATCACAGTATGATGAAAAAAAAATAAAATGAAACATTCAAATGAGGTCCTGGCTGACAACAAATCCTACAGCCATGGTGACGGACCAGGGTGAGGTCGCATGTGGTTTATTTTCCTGTCTGTCTGCATGTTGTTCCCCTCATAAACAGCACAGCCCTGCATCCAAAGGGGGAGGAGGGGTCACTTAAACAAAAGCGCTGGACAGGACACAATGAAAGATAGCTGGAAAAAAAGAAACAAGAACAAGGCCCCTATATGTACTCAACAGCAGAGGTGGGGGAGGGGGTGAAGGCTGGCGGGAGAGAGGGAGGCTTCAAGTGGCGGGTGGGAGCGAGGGGAGGTGGGGTGTTGCCTGTCTAAATCAGTTACTGCCTGTTGAGTTTTCCCAGCCAATCCAAAAACTGTGTCACAACCCCGCGCAGCGCAGCAGGCTGCTGAAAAGCCACCTGTTTCCTCAAAATTGAGGAGAGTCATCAAAAGTTGCTTTGCAAATAAAGTAGCTTTGCTGAACACTTCCAGACATACAAACAAAAATATTGGATTATTTGTGTGAACAGAGAAGGAAGCCTCTTCCCTCAGCTCTGACCCTGCAAGCATCCAGCAACACCCTGCACACATGCAGCTTACTCAGCCATAAAGACAATGCTGCCATAGCTTTATCCCCCCCAACTGAAACTCCCCGTCATGTAAGCCTCTTCCAATAAAAACATCTCCATGGTAATGGGCCAAGCCTTTTTGACCCACATCAATTGTCCTCACAACTATATATAGACTTGTACAGACCATGTCATGCCCTTTGGTTTTCATACATTTATTGTACGTCTTCCAGTAATATGACAAAATCTGCTCGAATTATCAATTTTGGAGATGTTAAAGATGTGTTAATCAAATTTTCTTCGTGCCATGGCCTCTTAACTTCGTATGAGTGACTCTTCTCTGAGCCAATTTACATAAGGCACATTTGATACACTTATCAGACTTAGCCACAAACACAACGGGGAAAGTCTAAGGAGCTCAGCACAGATTTGAAGAAGCAATTCATTGACTTGAACACGTCAAGAAAGCCACTTGGAGTCATTTCAAAGCAACTGCAGATCCAAAAATCATTTGTGCAAACAATTGTTTGTGAGCACAGAGTTCACTGCACAGTCGTGTCACTACCATGATCAGGAAGAAAATGCAAATGATCGCCTGCTTCCAAGAGATGACTGATTTGGATGGTTGGCCACAATTGCCAGAAATATTTTTGGAGGAGAAAAGGTGAGGCCTTTCATCCCAAGAACACCACACCTACCGTCAAGTATGGTGGTGGCAGTATTATGCTCTGGGGCTGTGCTGGTGCCAGTGGAACTGGTGCTTTACACAAAGTAAAGGGAATAATGAAGTAGAAGGATTACCTCCATGTTCTACAGAAAAACCTAAAATCATCAGTCAGAAGGTCGGACCTTGGATGCAGCTAGATGTTTCACATGCACATTGAATGGGTAAAGAAATGGCTGAATCCAGCTAGAATTAAGGTTTTAGACTGGCCTCCCCAATGTCCTAACTTGCACTCAAAATCCTGTGGACTGTGCTGAAAAAACAAATCAGTGTCATGAAACCCACAAATTCAGTTGAACTGCACCATTTCTGTCAAGAGGAGTGTTAAAGACACAACAGGAGGCTCCCCAGCAGCTTGTGGACATCAACCAAAGTGCTTAGTTAAGGGCAAAATGTCTAAGTGACATTTAACCAAATATTAGCATTCCTGAATGTAGATTTCTGACACAGCAGATTTTGCCATGTTTCCAGAAAATCTATAATACAGCTCACAAGGAACCAAAGTGCTTGATTGTTTTTTGCGACATAAGGCACGTGTGTTTCAGTGATTCAATCATAGAAAAACTATAAACCGTAATTGAAAATCCATCAAACTCCGGCCTGAGTTTTTTCATTAAAAGGTATTACACTGAAAACTGCACAGATTTTCACATCCCTTCCTCTCAGATTCAGGAGTCAAGATGGAGGTAAGTGGTTGCTGTCAAACCTTAGGAGGAAAAGGAAACCACAAAATGCAAATCAGAAAAGTTTGAAGTGAGATGTTTTAGTCCCACAGCAGTTGCAGCATAAGTTGCAAAGCTCAACTAATACCCAAACGGAGGTCAGAGGATCACTTTGAAACTTAAATGAAAGAAAGCTAAAAGCAGCGTTATTGCTTGCGCTGGTTAAGCCTTGCATTCTTACTTTCTCATAAATATGTAAACGCTTTTGTTTTGTTTCCCCCCCACTTCTTCTTTTTTCTCCCTCCCCAAAGAGCACTTCATGTTCTGTAAAATGAAATTGGACCAGAAAAAATAAATTAAAAAAAGATCCACTGCATGAATAAATCAAAACAGTGACTTTGCTTAGTTAGAGTTGTGATTAAAACAGCACCACAATCATCGACATTACTGTTCCGAACTGAACACTTTACACTGTAGCTGTGCCAGGGCCTTAGATCTAGTCCTACATTCTTGCCCCAATTACAGCACAAAACAAATAGCTGGCCCAGCGAAAGGAGCAGAGAAAAATGTTGAACTGGTTTCATGCCACACACATTCATATGTTAATGGGTTAACTGCATGCCAGGGATATTTTCTCTCATATTGGTAGGCCTGCTCCTGCAGTATGCGCAGGCTACCTGAGCACAAGTGGACTGGAAAACACCTGAATAATTTACCATGCATAAACAGGTAGGCAGAGGGTAGGCGTGGTCTGTCACTGACTTCCAGGTGATTTTTTTTTTCCCCTCATATTAAATTTCAGCTCATTTACAGGGCAAGCCTACAAGAAACTGGCTCGCTGGCTTTTAAATTAAAAATAAAAAACGATCTGTCATCAGTGTAAATGATAAAGTTTGCTTCCTCCGTACATTCAGAGCAGTTTTTTTTCCCCCCTCAGCTCAACTGTTACTAATCGATGATGTTCTGACAGGGGTAAGAAAAAAAGAGAAGTGGAAGAAGAAAATGAATGGATTTAGTGGGGAGAAGAAAAACGAGACTGCAAGAGGGACTAAAAGAGGAGAGGAAGCCACCATTAAATGCCAGAAACCACTGCAAAACACCTTGCTCCACAGAGCCACACCTTAGTACAGAAACTAAACATGGCGTTGAGTCACCGACCGAAACTCAGGTCAAAGATTAGACAGCTCGCTCAAGCCTGAAAACTCGGAAGTAATCAGGAAAAGACGGAGGAATTACTTTAAATATCCCATCCGACGTTGAGTGTAATCAAAACTCTTGCTAATTGTTAAGGGTTTAAGCTGAAAAGCAGGCACAGAATCACCTGCCGGATTCTCCTGTTTCCTGTCACTGCCCTGACAGGTACTAGTCAGGTTTAAATTCTCTTTTAAAAAATGGTTAAAGCTCTGTGATTTACACAGAAAGATACTGCTAAGTTTTCACAAGTGTTCGTTTCTTACCGTGTTGCGTTAATATCGACGCAATCAAGCAGAGCAGTCCGATCATTTTTTGCGTGCAGCTGGACCAATTTCGGGCGTCACGTCTCGCCATGGTTGATTACGGGTCCTCGGTGGAGAGAAAAAAAAAGCAGGCACGCAGTCTGTCCGAAATATAAATTCAAAAAAAAAAAAAAGAAAAAGAAACCCTTCTAATGTAGGTCAGTTGTGGTGTAATATCTCACTCATTCAGCAAAAAGAAAAAAAATAAATAAATAAAAACTTGTTCGGCTCCTAAAGACAAAACCAGAGGGGGGTCCGACAGAGGTTCTTGTTTGAAGTGTTCCCTCACTGCGCCTTCAAAGGTGGAGTGGTGCTTAAAAAATAAAAAAAAATTGAAGAGGGTGGGGAAGGGGAGGGGGAAATAAATCCTCGTTAAATTCGTCCCGGTGGCGGCGCACAGGTGAACACGTCCTCCTCAGCTCAGCGTGTAACGTGGAGCAGCTCGCGCGCTCCTTCTCCCAACAACTAGTTCCTTCGAGTCTGAAGCGCGCGCGGCGGTCCGGCTGTGTGTGTGACTGCTGGGTGACGTCATCAGGCTGGGAGGAGGCGTCACGGGGCCGCTTCCAAAAAAACCAATTAGGACCAGCGAGGGGGTGGGGGTGGGGGGTATGGGGGAGATAGGGGGGGAGGAGGGAGCAACTTGTTGAAAGCAGCCCTCCTTGGGAAATGCAACTTCCATTGCATCTAAACCGAGCAGCAGCAGCAGGTTTGAAACCATTTTTTATTTATTTAAATTTTTTTTACAATCTGTGCAGCATAACTCCCTATTAGTAGGCAAAAAAAAAAAAAAACTCCAATCTGATAAGACAACAGGGGAGAGATCCCTCTTCCATCAATAGCGCAAGATTCCTGTGCATTCGTGGAAAATTTCCTCCGAAAAGCATCATGATCTCTTTTTTTTTTCACATTCCACCTGCTGCTGGCATGCATCAGCTCCAAATGCATCCTATAAGAATTTCAAAGTCATCTTGATTAATGTTCAGTAAATTGCAACAGATGCCGGCAGTTTGTATGAATATTTTAAACAACAACAGAAAAGCATTTAAAGTAAAAAAATTAACCAGCGTCTACACAGTTTTCTGATGAAGGTGATGTGGAAACAGATGATTCCTACGCCCTCTGCTGTTCGTTTCTTCACACATGCCCTGACATTAGCTCATATAACTCCCATACAAGCAGAAGCAAGAATCAACAAACGCTCATTAATGAATGGCGAAACACAAATCCAGTGGCAGTCAGCAAAATCACAGAAAATGGAAACAGCTTCTCATGCATCTATTTGCAGACTATGGCAGACTCCCTGTTGATGAGATTTTTTTTTTCAGCTCTCCAGAATGAACTTCCAATTCTTTTTGCCCTATTTTCTTCTGAAGCAGGGTGCATAGAAAAGGCATTATCTGGTTTACGTCTAATCCCTATGCCCAAGTGTTTTACAGCCAATGTAATTACATCTTCATAAGTCCCACAGTTTAAACCGTGCTGCCTGGTTCCTTCCATTCTGTTCTGTTTGTCAGTTCCCCTCCAGTGTCAGCCTCTTAGTTCAACACCGTGCTTGTGAGGTTCACATTCTAAAGACACTGATAAGGTCAGAGGTCAAGCAATGTTCTGCACACCAGAAAAACAAATGAACATTTGAAATCCGTTTTTTTTTTTTTGGGACTTCTTTACTTTCCAAGAGAAAGAAGAGTATCATTTTCTTTCCACTCTTTGCCGACTGTAAATTCAGAGACTGTTAATACAGCTGAGTTTTGAATTGCAACAGTGCTTTCATTGCCATCATTTCATTTGCTGCCATCTTTTGGCCCTACAGTTAAAGGTTTGAGGACCAACATGTCCACATAAAGTTTGCAGGGACCACCCATACTTCCGCAGTTTGAATTCATGTTTAAAAAAAAAAGGGACCTTTAGACAAAGTGGCCCCCAAATAGAGGATTTCATTCCCTCCTTCATCCATTTTTCATACCCATACCAGATTGACCTTCACCTTCCATTTTCTAGATACCACCCACTTTACTTATACAGCACCTCAACACTGTTTTTCTTATCATCACACACCTCTTACACCTTCCCATCACTGACACCTCATTTCCCTCTCCTCCCTCCTTCCTTCCCTTCCTCTTCTGCTCCTTCTTCCTGTGTTATTCAATTTCTTTTGTGCACTCGTCCTTCACTCCTTGTTGCTTTTCATTCTGTTCTCCATCCTCATGCTCTCTGGGGGTCTGTGGCAGTGATAATGAATCGCATAGTTAACAGATATTAGCTCACTGGCAGTGGATTCATTAGACGGAGCCAAGGCTTATGGTGATTATTTACCCATAGAGGAGGGGCCAAAAGATCAGTGCTGTGCTCCATGTCAGCAGCCACAGGCTTCTTTGAAGTCACAGTGTCTCTGTTCCCCTGCAACAGTCTCTCACTGTTCTGCTTGCCTTGGGTTTTCTCATTCTGTCTGGGTATTTCTCCTTCCACATTTCTCCCTCTTGCTGCTCTCCCTTCTTTCTCTTTCCCTGTCATTAGACACCCACAATACATATCTACTTTCTCTCCCTCTCTCTCTGCCTCTATCTTTCTTCAACGCCCCCATTCACCCAATGGTAATTATGGAAAAATCTGTAATAGTGCTCAGAGGAGCTGATAATACCTTTAGCTTAATTAAAGGCATTTATGGGATGTAAAGACATGCAGCCTAGGGGTTGCTGTGCACCCACATCAGCCCAAACTCTTTATTTCCTGCTTTTTCATCCCCTCAATCCCTCGCTTGCTGTTATTCTTATCACTTTCTCTGTTTCACACACACATTGGGATATGCACATGCTTATTGTCTTTGTCAAACTGCATGTTAGGGTCAGAAGTTGAGTCACTAACTGTTGAGAGGTGCAGCTTTGAAATGTTCAGCATTACAGTAATGCTAATACATGCGGTTTATCAGCCTCATACATGACTGGAATAATGACAGTCTTTTCCTGATGATTACGCCTGTGTTTGTCGCCTCACATCCTGTTGAGCTTAAAGGCGTGCAACTTGTTAACATGTCAGTCAGGGACATCAGCGATATTGCAGGAAACTGAACCGTACTTGATGTGGAGAAGCACATTTAGAAAGGTCACAATGTTTGAGAGACAACTGGTGCCGTGAGAGGTTTTTCTCTTTTCTTCAAATGTGTGATGGAGTCTGGTTTTCTCACGTTTATTCTCATTTCTTCTTTTGCAGTGTGTTCCTCTCACGCTGACACCACAGGTATGAAACACTCTTTGTGACTTTTTAACAAGTTTAACAGCACTTGAACTGTTATTGTTAAGAAGGGAGCCTACATTTAAGGTAAATGTTGCTTTAATAGTGTAGACATTGATGAATCAGCATCAGTGAATGTAAATGATGAAGTATGCATTAAAATAGGTTCCCTTTATCCCAATGCGTTAGTTTTTTAAATGGTCAAATAGATGTCCAAGGACGTTTTGTATTTTTCTTTTCAATATTTTTTCTTCTCCTTTGTCACTGGTACAATTCATTGGCTTTAACCTGATCAAGACAGTCACACTTATATGCCCACATTGAAAGAGCTACCCAGGACTAAGAGTCCATTAAAGCACACAGCACTTTGTAAAATACATTTTAGATTCATAGGTAGGAAATATGATTCTTTAGTAGGCTGCATGGCATAAACCATGTGGTTACCTTCTAGGTTTAGTCATTCATCCGGTATCTATACACCACGTAATCCTCACTAGGGTCATGGGGGGCTGGAGTCTATCCCAGCTGACTTAGGGTGAAGGCAGGGGACATCCTGGACAGGTCGCCAGTCTATCACAGGGCTACACTTAGAGACAGACAACCAAACACACTCACATTCACACCTACGGACAATTTAGAATCACCAATTAACCTCAACGTGTTTTTGGTCTTGTGGGAGGAAGAACCCGGAGAGAACCCACGCAACACGGGGAGAACATGCAAACTCCACACAGAACTGGCGACCTTCTTGCTGCGAGGCAACAGTGCTACCAACTGCAGCCCTAGATTTAGTCATTTTAGCACAAAAATCCTGTTTCATTATTACGCATCAAAAGCAGCTTTGCAAGGAGATGCTATCTGGGCAAGCAACAAAAGCAAATGTATAAAGGCTCTCCTTTAAAGGTAGCTATTAGGTTACACTATGCCCAAATGAAGAAGACTAATAGTGTCGTTAGCAAAACTCTAGTTGAAATTACTTTAACACAGATATAACACTGTGGCTTTTGTGGAACTATTAGCCAAAAATCAACTCTTCCAGTGTGTGTTTGGGCATGTTATGGACAGGATAAAAAAAACTGCAAAATTTGAGATTTTCATGCATATTTAAAGACGCACCTGAAAAATTCATCTTTAGTAATAATGATACAATGTTTGTCCTTTTCCCCTCAGGCTGGGATGATGTTGTGGTGGCTCAAGAGGGCACACCTGTCACTCTGGTTTGCACTGATACCAGTGTGAGAGGTGCCATAACTATTAACTGGATGGTAAAGTCACTTGATGACCATGACTGGAAACTGGTTCTCTCAGTCAGTGAAAATGAAAAGTTCTCCGGTGGTGCCTCAAAAGCGTCCATACGACTGACCGACCCTAACTTCCAAAACACTGGGATTTTTTCTCTGTTCATCCAACCTGAAGCCAGTGACAGTGGTCTCTATGTGTGTTTGATAAAACAACATGAGACGAAAATACAGGAAAGGACTGTCCTACTAGCTGTCCTTACAGGTATAAACTGTCACTAATGACAAACATAACAAATTATTTGCCTGCTTACTAAATTAACGAGAATTTACAAGAAGTGATATTTGCCACAACCACACTTTATTTATATGTCGTTTATCAGTCAAAATTAACTAAGTGCATGTCATCAGGCAGGGCACTTAAGTACAGTTTTAAGGTTCTTGTATTTACTCCAATATTTCTACTAGTTCTTCACAATATTTCAGAGGGAAATATTGGACTTCTATAGAATTCCATGCTGCCTCTGTTTTCCACAATAAATAATTTTACATTTACTTTCTAAAAATGTACTTTTCTGATGATGCTTGTACACTTTTATTTCATTTCAATGCTGGGCTTCATTTGTGTCATTGGGTATATTTACACTGACATTGGCGCTCTCCTTCTTCCTGTATTCTCCCTCACCTGTAGTCAGCATCAGTCCCCCTGCTCCTGTCCCTCAGCGCAGCACCCTGCGACTGATTGCCAGCGTTAACCCCAACCCTGCCGCCACAAAAATCACCTGGACTTCACCTGGAGGCACTTCCCTGAAGACTGAGAAAAAAAAAATTGCAGGCACGGTGGCTAAACTGCCGATGGTCAATAACAGTGATGATGGCATCTATGTCTGCACGGTTAAGATCCGCACTCTTTTTGCTTTCAACGTGACCGTCAACATTGCTGGTGAGCCTGACTGGAGAAAGAGGAACCTAGACGCACTGAGGGATAGAATACATTTCTTGCTATTTTTATTGATGGTGTGAGTTTGGGCATCAGTGCCACACACTCCAGCAGCAGCATTATTTATTCAGAAGTGTTGTAGTTCTTCAAAGTATTTACTTTTTATAGACCAGTTTCAAGATTCAAAGGCATACTGTAGATTTACACTAAAAGTCCTCCTGTGAATGTTATAGTAGCTGCATTTATGTATTATTAATTATTTTCCTTCCCCCCCACGACACCCCACCAACCCCCTCAACCCCCACAGCTGACAAAGTGGCCTCATTCGCTGATATAACATATGGTAAGTAACTGTGGAACACAAGCAGTCTGAAAGTCCTGTGTCAGCAGCCTGCTAATCAGGCAGAGCAGAATGGAAGAGCAATTGAAGAAGTGACTCTCAGCACATAAGCAGTAATCCCCATTGTTGTTTGAATTTTCCCTCTATCTCCATTTCCCTTTTCTCTTGCTTTTCCGTCTCCTCTCTGTTTCTCAACCTCACTCTTCATTCATCCTTTTTTCTACTCTGAATTCTCTGTCAATATGTCTTCTTGCACTGTAATGTCTGCATATCTGTCTTCCACCATCCCTGCCTGCAGACGCCACAATCTATGCTGGCACTCAGGCTCAGCGGTCTTTCACCCTGGCCTGTCCTAATGTTCAGGGGGACTATGTCCGGCTGTACTGGGTTCCCCCAGACAAGGGGCACAATCATATAAGGTTGGTGCACCAGTATGACCGCTGGAGGGATTCCACCTTACTGACCGAGCAAAGCAAGAGGCTCCAACTGGCCGGCAACCCCAAGGTTGGGAGCTTCTCCTTTCTACTCACCCCTGGCTGGAGAGATGGCGGCCTCTATGCTTGTGAAGTATCCCTTAATGACAACTTCTTCGGCCAGAGGACCCGGCTCAGTGTGCTGAAAGGTAGAGATCAAGGTCAGACGCAATGCAGGGTGGAGAAGGATTAAAACAAGGATGTGGGGATGGATTTAAGAGACAAGTGGTGTGGTTGTTATCATACAAATTAGTATTTGTGCTAAGCTGTTATACAGAGCATGGTAAAAAAAAAAAAAAAAGAGGTAAACAGTTAAATGACAAATTAAAGGAAAAACTAATCAAATATTCCATAGACGTTCAGCCAAGTAAAGATCCTGCAACGGCCATACTTACTCACTGACATCATTTTCATACTCATCAAATCATTTAATGACCTCTCCTGTGATGAATGGAGGTAGTTATTTTTGCTATGTTTCTTCCTCTATTTAAGCTTTTTTTTTTTTTTTCAATAATTGCCACTAGTTTGAACTTTACATACGATTGGGGACCCTGAATATTGTCAAAAATGGAGCCATTGTAAAACACCTTGTGGGGGCCATGGCAACCATTTCACTTTCTGCCATGAGTTTTGATGGTCAAGGAATACAATGATGCTGTATATAATACCATAAAGACAGAGACATTTTGAAAAGGAAATGACCTCGACTAGATTTCATAATATCCTGACCGTTGTGTTCCTGTTGTGTGCTATTGTTAGTATTATTGCATTATTCTCACAGCCAGTAAAGGTGTGAAACACAGGAAGGGCCTTGGATATATCAGACCCACAGACTTGGTAATGTCACAGACAGGTATGTATCTGAAATTGTTGCCGGTCCATAATGACATTCACAGCTTCTCAAATGTCAAGCTGTGATACGTGCGCAACGCCTAAGATGACACTGTGTCCACAATGCAAAGTGTAATCTTTTAAAATCTTTTTCTTCCGGCATCCACTGCATGAAGTAGCATCGTTATATCTATATCGTTATATCTATATAAAAGGATGGAGCAACTGAATTTTTTTATTGTGGTTTAGATGATAGAACAGTGAGTCTGCAACTGGAAGCTTGTGGTATTTATTAGTAGCCAACATTAGCACAACAACAAAACAACAATTCTGACCAATGGAAAGTTTTTCCGAAAGTGGATGAAGGGAAATCAGAACTCCTTCATTCTCTTCTTGTCGAAATGTCAACCTCCTTGCTGACCCAAGTGATGGTGCTCAGCTCTTTCTGAAATGTGTTTCTTTTAATCGGTCTTTAGGTTTGACATTCATTTTTTGTTAAGACGTTCATTATGAAGATTGTTCTTGCAGTCACTGTTTACATTGATTAACAGGAATGGATGAAGCTTTTAAAACTCTAAACAACATGAATGCAGCCGACACGATGCTGTGAGATCCAGCCTAGAGGTTCTCAGATACTGTGATTGTCTTCTCACAAAGTATTCACTATTAACTATTCACCTGAACAAATTATGATGTATGTGGGATCACTGAAATCCTTGGCCATCAAGACATATGGTTTGACATCACCTTTTCTGAGTTATCATGTTGCGTTCAGGACATATGATGCAGTTGGTGTGTCCATAAGATATTTTTGCGATGGCCCAGTTTCTGAAAACATTCAGGGTAGAAAAAGTATGAAAGGTAGAGTTTGGTGCCTGTCTGTTCCTGCAGTCCTGACAAAGCACTTGCTTGTACCTCATGTGCTTGTTTATGTAGTTGTACTGTGCTTATGCAGCAGAATTTTTTTTTTGGTCCCTGTCGAAAATGCTTTAGATGATCATGGACAAGGTTTGTTTGCTGTAGCTCATTTCTTTACCAGGGACAGACATCTTTAAAATGTGGCATTCTTGTCATTGTCAATTCTCTTTTGATATTTCTCAAGGACCACTCCTCACACTCACCAGAAATACACTCACCAACATTATGCACGTTGGGTTTTGTTGTAAAATGAACAAACACATGCAAATACAATATACTGTGTGTTAATTAATAAATCCCACATTTTTACATTAGAGAAAGCCATGCTGGCCATTTCCCTCTGCTCTAGGTTTTTATGCTAAGCTACGTTAAGCTCCTTGCTCCAGGCTAATACGAAACACATCGACATGAGTGGTATTGATCTTCTTATTTGTGTTTCTGCAAGAAGGTGTAAAACCACATATTTACTAAGTTGTCAAACTATTCTGTTAAACTAAACTATGTGCAAGACATTGGTAAAACAAGTCCAGGGGCAACGAGCAGAGCAGGGAACAGAGAGACGTCCCTGTAAACAAAGGGCCCGTGCCTCTTGAGGTGTTTGTGCAACTATTTGCCTTTGCTGAATTATCCTTTTGTGAGACATTGAATTCTTACAGCTGTCTGTGAATTGCTCTTACACATCATTTACACTGAAAAATGAAGAAAAAAATAGTTCCTACAGCCATTGGTAAAATGACACGTTAATAAACAAACAACTGTATTGCTCCCGAAAAGGAAGATTTGCTTTGTTCATAAACTTAAAGAAAAAAAAGAAAGAGCAGAGTACCTGTTGATTTTGAGCCCTGGGGCGTTTTCACCCTTTGCAGAGGAACCCACTTACACTCTCCAGTACGCACTCATACACATATAATGCCTGTCATTGTGGCCTTGGAAGGCTTTACTAATCACAATCCCACCAGCATCCATCACAGCTGCCCAGACATGACCAATCTATCTGTCACTGTCGCCCTGCTTCACACATCTGCATCCCTTACACACACACAAAGACAACCATGCGGCAATCATGATGCATATATTTTTACCCCACCTCATTATGAGTATCATTATGTATGATTATACCTGCTGCCCTGCCACCAAGGGTGTAGGTGGCCCACACTGATCACACTAATCAAGGCTGAAATGTGTGTTTTTATGTGTTGCGTGGGGGGGGTCTGTGGAGCTTGATTACACCCAGATGGATTCTTATTTCAGTCTGATGAGACACTAACCATTAGTCATAGTCAACTGATGCATTAGCAGCAAATCACTTTAATGAATATATATTATTTTGACCCTTCTCTGAATTGTTCTTTGTTTTTCATACAATTTTCCCTGTACCTCATTACTCTCTGTCTATCCTTGCCCTTTTCTATATTCACACACTACCCTTTAACTCACTTTCTCATCCTCTCTCTCCTTTCTCTTCCCTCCTGCCTGTCTTTCTCACTACCTCATCTTTCCTTGTCTTCATTTTTTTCATCCCCCCTATGAAAACTTCCTTCCTTTGTCCTCCCACTGTCCTTTCCCCTCTCCTCTCATTGCTCTGTATGATTTCCACAGTTAACACCGTCCCTTATCCCTTGAAGCTGGAGTTGGTGTGCCTGTACTCAGAGAAGTCTCAGGTTCAAAGTGTGAAATGGAAACACCAGAATGAGAGTCGACCACTGCGCATGTTCAGCAAGGGCCCTGGCAACATCGCCACAATTCTGCCCTTACCCATCACCTCCCACGAAGCAGGGAACTACACCTGCACAATGGAGCTGGAAAATGGCCAGGTCATCCGGGCAACTGTAGCTATCCCACCGCCCCGTGAAGGTGGGAGGGATCATTTGGTATCGTAAAGATTGTTCTGATTTCTGATTTTCTTTTTCAGCAGTATTATGTTGCCACCACAGGAGTCCTCACAGATTTCCTGTCAGCTTGAAGATAATGAACCATGATTGTGCATAACCTTTAGATATGTGCCCTGTGAAGCGTTCAATGGCGTATTCAAGCCAACTTCAGGTCAATTTATCTGCTAGAAAGCCTGTGGCTTGCAGAGGGGAAAGATCCTGACAGATACCATATGTTGTGCATTCTTAATGTAGCTACAGAGGTCACAGGTCAAGACTTCTTTATAATAAGAAGTTGCAATAGTATCCAGCAGAATAAGCCATTCCATTTATGTGCCAAAATTTCATAAAAAGCCACCTCAGTCCTAATACTGACATAGGCTGAACACTCAAGGTTTTCTCATGTGAAATATATAGACATGAAGGTTATCATTTTTCTCATTGCACTCACCCAGCTGATGTGTGAATATTGGAAAGCAGGACCTTAAGACATCTTCCTCTACAAAAGCTAAATTATTCGAGATTATTGTATCGGTGGCTGTGGGGGACCACAGGAGGATGTGACAGTTGAATGGATCCCTGAGCAGAGATGAGTTCAATCCCCTTACCCGAATACATCATTTTGGCAGGGCCCAGAGCTCATCATGATGCATGCTGATGGTTTGGCTGTAAGGATAATGTACAGGAGGGGAAGGAGAGAGATTGATGAAGACTAGAGGAGTAAAAGGGGAAGCAAAAGTTTTCTAATCCAACTTCTCCGATTATATATATATATATATATATATGTGTGTGTGTGTGTGTGTGTGTGTTTGTGTGTTTCAAGTGTCAATTGAGCACAGTGAGGTTTTAAATAATGTGCGTTGCATGACCCACATTTACACTGTTGAAAAGTGTCTGGCTGCACAAATATTGCAATAGTGCAAGAAAGCACAAAACTTATGGTTAATAATGAATAATATGACAACAAGCTGTGACTGTTTATCGGTAAATAAATAGTTATTTTCTGCACGACATCCAGAAATAGTGGCTCTTTTGCACGTGGTTATCTCTGAGATAGATTTTAAACAAGTTTTTAGTTTATTGTGTAATCATGTTTATCATTATTAATAATTTGTTGTTAATAAAACTACTCTCTCAAAGTAGAGAACAGGTAGTAAAAGTTAAAACAACACTGCTGCATAATAGCATTTCTTTCCCTCGTGGCAAAGTTCATAGAATGCAAAATTGAAACAATTATTGTGTTGAGTATCACACAAAATACTTCAAATGTCAGGGATCTTCTGCAATTATGTGCCAGCCTCAGTTTGCACGTAATTTGCAAAGCGTTCAGGCAACTTTTTGGTTTTTCTCCTATCAGCCATCCTCGAGTAAAGTTGCAATGATATAAACCCCCCTCAGCTGCCCACCCAGGCTTCCCCACCGCTTTGTAGATGAAGTAGACGAGGTGGGGAGGAAGCGCAAATAGTAGAAAGCAATAGGTGAGGTAGTGAAAGATGAAGATAAAGGGTAGAGAGACAAAAGACAGAAAGAGGAGATCTGATAGTGTGAAACTGGGGGCATTTATGCCTCCCTTCACTGCACTCCGTTACCATAATTCTTGCATTAAAGCTGGCATGAGAGCAGTGCAGGTCAGCCCTGGGGTTAGCTCTCACCACAATATTCCATTAGTTACCTCTATACCTACCCACCAATCAATTACGTCTTAAGCTGCATATAATGACTGATTATTTTGAAGTTGGCTGAAACTGTGACATCAGGGCTGAGGTGAAGCATGAGGGGTAATCATTTTTCAAACTTAACTGGTGGAAAGTAATAAGTAATGAGATGTCAGATCAGACTTCACTTTTGCCAGGTTTTTGTCCATCGGATACTTTTAAATGAAGCGGAAGGACACTGTAAGAATTCTTGATAAATCATAGCAGTAATATAGTAAGTCTGTTCCAGTCTGTACCTTTCTATTTATTAGGTCAGTCTTGTGTCAGATATCTGACAGATCTGATGCTTTGTGCTCCGTGGACAGTGAGCAGACAGGAACAGATCAGTTGTTGAGCTGCACTAAGTTACAGCATTCTGTGGAAACATGCACCTCCCTTGTGTTTCCCATGTTTCCCTGAAGCTTTTGTTGTGTAAGACTGATGTCATGGACATTATACAAATAAACCTGGCAAGTTTGATCACATGACTGTGCTCTTCCCACAACATTTGACTAGTGCAAGAGCTAATGATGTGCTTATATAACCTTTTTAACATTCATGCACACGCCTTCGATCCACCTGTTTTTCACTATTGCATTGATTGCAAAGTGTGATATCTACAATATTTGCCAGTTTTCCTTGAGGGGGTTTGCTGCTGAAATCAGATGCACAAAGAAAAGCTTTTTTGGACTTTACCTACACAACATGTATATTTAGAAAATTAGACATGGAATAAGGAGCATCTGCAATAACTACTCTGTATGGAAGTGGCATGTTCTGAGGTTTTGTGTAATGATCTGACAGCGTCTGGTTTCCTAGATAGCACTACTTTTTTCCCCCTTCACATCCACATTTCAAATTGACAGCCTTTACTGTCCCGACTGATCAATGAATACAAAGCCGTTGTGCAGCGAGTTCACTCTGTCTGTCTGACAGAGCCTGGATTTTCTCGCCTTCTTTCATTGGACCCTTGTCTGTGACTGACAGCAGTATGATGCAAATGCATGTAACATGTTGAGGAAATCGTAACTGCAATATGTCGTAGAATACAGCTTGAAGTATACAGGTAAGGAAAAGGTTGCCTCTTGCTGACTTGAACTAGAGAACAAACAGCAATAACTTTCTGGGCAATCTTCATTCGCTTAGCTGGAGCGCTACAAGTTTTACATTAGCGCTGCTTTTGGAAACATTCATGCTTTTTTCTGTGTCACTTTTAGTTTTTACAGAAAGCCCGCCTGGCCCCTCCATGCTCCCCTCTCTGTCTGCTTTATTACTTCTGGTGCCCCTGGTTGCAGCAGCTGTCGGTGTGTTGCTATGGAGACAGAAACACAATTCTGGTCATGGTGAGTTTTCCTGTGGGTTTTTTTTTTTTTTTTTGACAGCTTTCCATGTTATGTCCATCTTCAGCCCCTGTCAGCTGCGACTGAGTGATGCGGGCCATGGTATCCTCTGGGGTTGCTGTAAAGAATCTGCCCCTGCCTCCTCCATCCCTGAGTGTATGTGTGAGGCGGTAACTCTCTTTCTGTTCTCAGGTGTTGAGCAGTCTCTGTCTGTCCACGTGAGTGACGCAGGGAACATTTATGAGAATCCTGAGGATATCAGACAGGTGATGAATTGAGACATATTCAACAGATAAATATCTCCTGATAAATGTCCCTCCTCATTTTTCCCTCATCTTCCCTCCTCACTCATTTCTTCCTTTTGCTATTTATCACTCTTTCTCGTCTCTTTTTGTTACTCTCACCCCATCCCCTTCGCTGTCTTGTCTCTATAGTGCCCTTTTGATTTTTGATTTGTTGCTTTCTTCCTGTTTCTGTTTTTCTTCTGATTTCAATTGTGCCTCCCTCTGTCACTTGTTGTTCATTAAAACCTGTTTTCTCCGCTCTCCTCCCTTCCCAACAGGCTCCTCCCCAGGGTTCGGTCTACATGGTAAGCTATTGTGTCATCCTCTGCACACACACACACACACACACCTCTACCAGCATATAGAGATTCTCATTCTCTCTATTGCACCGTCCCTAAGCTGTCAGCCGATATTTTTTTCCTTCACACTTGCAGCTCCCTGTATCCAATCTATCAGCCCTCTCTCAGATAAACCCATTGCCTATCAGCTGTCACCCTTACATTAGTGGTATTAACTAATCAATTTCATTACACACTAGAAGGACATAAATCTGGCCTCTCTTTATCCTTCTCTTCACTGTCCCACTCTTTCTTTCTTTCTCTCTCCCTCCCCTCCCTTCTTTTTCTTCTTCAATGCCAGGATTTGAAGCCAAGAGGCGAGGATGATGTCTATAAGGAACTGGAGCGGTAAGCGAAAAGCTTGCATCACCTGTGTAAGCTGTTGTATGTTGATCTGCTTGTGTGTGTGTGTGTGTGTTGGTCTGTGTGTGTGTGTATGTGTGTTTGCACTGTCACTGATCTACCCCTCAAATTCTTCTCACACTAACCAATCACGCTGGCCTGAACATCACTCTGACACTGTGGCATAATATCACGACACGCGTTGACAGGCAGCGCTTCTTCACCCCGTGTATTGTTGTTGCGTGGGCTGTCTGTGTTTACGTTAAGGGAAGAATAAAAAGACGCTGGGGGATGGGAGATTTTTTTTTAGTGTGAGTTTGTCTTTGCGCTCTGTTTTCAGATACGAGCAATGTCAGGGCTGATCACCTCCCCACATCTCATCCTCATCCAGCTGTCACATCCGCTCAGTTCCCAGCTGCAGCAGAAGGCCTTTATAAACAGAAGTAACAACTGAAACTCAGAGTTAAGACTAACTTCAGTGCTTCAGGGAAATGCTGTTCAGTTGTTTTAATGTTTTTGTTCTTCTTGTTTTATTCCTATTGCTCTTTTCAAGTCATGAAGAAGAAACTGTTATCTCATGAGGTTCTAAAATTGTCCCATGTGTGCTACTTAATAGGCTGTTGTCTTTTCACAGGTGTATATAAACACTTGGTATTGTGCCTCTTGTATTTTACTTCTATGTATATCTATTTCTAAGTATCGATATTTTAAATAAACATTTAGCTTGTTGTGTAGTTTGTCTTCAATTCATTTTCAGTCAAATTCCTAAGCGCTTTCGCGTTTGAGATTTGGTCCGGACGCGCTTCCGTAGTTATTTCAGTGGAAGAATGGCCGGCTGGATGTGGCTCCGCTGTGTTTTAGGACCTCATCTGCAACGAATTCACCGTTCACCGGAGCAGTCTCGACCTGACGGCAGGTCGGGAAGGAGGGTAGGGATGTCTTATATATTTTGCATTTGGTTTAGAACAGCCGAGTGCGAGAATTCAGCAACATTTCGTGTCTGTGCTGCTAATGTAGCTCCGGCTGCGGCCCGGAAGTGTCAGATGTGTGTTATTGAAACTCCGCTGTCACCGCGCTGCATAGCCAGGATGGCAGGTAGCAAATGAATGAAATGAGTGGAACACAGCGGCACACTTTGTATTTTCCTGCATCTTTTTCACACTCGCATTCAGTCTTACTGTAGCTTGTCGCTGTGGGTTGTTTTCAGTCCTGTCAAAGTAGTTCTGCTAACGGTAGCTTGGAGGCTGGAAGTGAAATACATGTTTGTCGAGACGGGAAGAAAAAGCAAAAAAAAAATTTTAAAAAAAGCAAACAGAATGTGAATAATGAAAATGATCGTAGTTAACTAAAACAGAGCCACTGTAAAGATGATTTGTCGTGGTATTATTATTATGTGGTCCTTTCTCTTTAAACGATGTGTGTGTCGGCTAGGCTAACGCTAGCTAATCAATGTGAAAGGCGTTAGCAACAGTGATCATGAACAATATTTCTCTGTTGCCAGGGATGGAACTACCAACCTAGGAGTCTGGAAAAACACACTCACAGCATTATTGGTTGGGTGAGTATCATTATTATTATTATTATTGTTATTACTATTATTATTATTATTATTTGTTGTAGTAATTCCACAGAAAGAAGTGGTGATTTCATTCATTTAAGTGTATATTTTTTCCCCATTCTCAGGCGTCAGCATTGTGGTCCCTGTCCTATTACAGCTCTCCTCTGCTGCTCTGCTATCTTTACAGGAAAGGTAGGTCGTATAAATTGTGCTTGGTGGGAAACATGGGGAGACACATCTCCAGTCTCCACTGCTCTGTGTGTTTGTGATCAGAGCTGAAATTGTTAAGAATCAATTTTGATGAGTCACTTATTAAAAAAACAGCCTCAGACATTCTCTGGTTTCAGCTTCTTCCGTTGTCATGTGACGTTTTTATGAGCTGAGTATGTTTGGGACAACTAATATAGATTTTAATTAGATTTTTCCCCCCTGTTGTTTGATAGACTCATCTGTTCATTAAAAAAATAATTGCCAGATTAATTGAAAATAGATGTTGTTAATTGAGGCTTTAGTTGATGTTCTAAAGATGGACAGACTTGCTTTTATAAAAGAAAACCATCCTGGCAAGGGCTAGATGATAATTTTGTTAATATGTAACTAGATAAGTGATTTATTACAAGTGAAATATTATGTCGATGATATAATGTGTTATCTCTGTACAAAAGTCCTTAAACATTGCTAGAAAGGTGAAATAAAAGCGTTTGTCTAACACACTGTAGGTAGCTTTGGACATCAAGTTGATTGTTTGATATGTGTTTGTGTTATGTGTGATTTTAAGACAGCTAGATTCATATCATATTATTGGATGTCAGTGTGTTGGCCCTGTGCTACTACCTTGTAAACAGTCTCAGCTTTGGGAGAACAGCAAATAGTAAAAACACACTGAAGCCATTTTTCTTGAGGTGCGTTGTGTCCTTATACTTTCAGAACAAGCGTGACTTCCATATGTTTCACTAGATGTCTTTCTCAGAAGGTTTTGACAGTGAGGATGCTTGGATCTCTGTCTTACTGTTACTTTGCTCATTTTTAGGTTATATCTGCAGCAGTAAGTTGGTTCCAGTGAGTCAATATGTGGGAACTGTGCTGGTGTGTCTTCTAGGAGTCGCCTGTCTTAGAGGTAAGGCCGCTCATGTAAACTGACTTGAACAGACAATGACTCATTTGGTTAATTTATCTTTAGATATCACAACATACATCACAAAAGCGGCGTTTGTGAACCCTTTGGAATTGCTCCCGCTCTCATGTTTGCAGTGTTAATGTGTATACAGAAAACAGAGAACTTTTGGCTTGTGATGTCAGATTGTGCACCGTTATTGTGTACAAGGAGATTATGTGAAAGAGCAGACGTGGCCAAAGTAGTGCTGGTTTTAACCCTGAAAACAGGAATTTAGACACATGTGATTCATGTACAGTTACTCTACAACAGTATTATTACTTTAGTAAGATTTGTCTATAATTGAGACTTGGACGAAGATCTGACCAGATTTTATGAAAATCCAATGCAGAAATCTTGATAATTCCAAAGAGTTCACAAACTTTTTGTTGCAAGTACTCTGTGTGTGCTGCATGTCAATAAGTATTTGTCACCACAGAGACAGCTGAACAAGGTCTATACCCACCAAGCATACTAAATGCACCCTTGAGGCTTTTTCTTCAAAATGTATTTTGAATCTCACATGGACTCACCCACTTATGTGTTTGTCTGCCTTTGCTTTCCTTCTTCTTCCCTTCGCACTCTCCATTTCTTGCCAAGGGTGGGGCAGGTGGAAGAACTCTGAGTATCTTCAGTTCATCTCAGTTCTTGAGGAAACAAAGAAAAATCACACACCAGCAAACAAGGTAAGATCTTTGCAAATAAAAGCAGGTGCTCAGCATGGATGCTATTACTATAACTATACTATATTATACTATACTATAACTATTACTATAATGTTATAGGAATTAAGGGGGACAAATTAATAGCTTTTCATTTGTGCGTATCTGAACTAAAAAACCTTTGAATTCAAGTCAGTTTGTTTTCGCTTTCCACATAGAAAAAGCTGAGGTGCTACGACTTTGACTTTGCGTTTTGGCCTTCGGACTTCGAATGGACAGAAGTCAGCAGTCCGTAAGTATTTGCTCTTATACTTCATTTCCATTTGAAACAACCGTGTGTTCACTGCAATTCTACTATAAATACACGCATTCAAAGCACTGTGAAGTACACTGAATGAATCCATCTACTGAGGTCAAATGCTTATTGACTTGTGTGACAGGAAACTGTCCAAGGCCGGTGTTTCTCTGCTGAAGCCAGAGCCCAGATTAAGAGGAGCAGCAGATAGCGTCCTCAACTCTGTGCGCACTTTACCATGCCACGTCATCAGGTACGTGTGGGCTCTGCAATACACCACATGTCTGGTAATAGCGCACTGACACAATGTACGCCGTCTGCTTTATTGGTCGGCTTCCTATTTCATCCCCCTCCTTTCGGAAAGCACTGTCTGTTCATCCTCTCTTTCCCTCCAGTTTCCTCATTGCCCATTCGTTCGGGAGGAGGATGCTGTACCCTGGCTCTGTGGGTTTACTGCAGAAAGCGATGAGGCCCATGCTGCAGCAAGGCCAGGCTAGACTAATAGAAGAGGTGACAAAAAACAAGCACTTGCTCCCTCAAGTTTTATACTTACAGTCGTCCTCAAATGTATTCACACCCTTCCATTAAAGAAAAGGCAAAATTCACAACAGTCGCTCAAATAACTAGAAACTGAAAAAAGTAATAATAAATGAAAAAATGCTAAATTTTAATTTAGTGAAATAAGACATTGCTTTTGAATTGTGGTTAAAAGAATAATTGAAAAAAAAAAAAAAAACTGTCCTGGACAAATTAGAACACTTTGCTGATGAGCAGTGGGCCAAAATCAAAGGGTTGTTCAACAAAATATTAGTTGATGGGTCCCATCCTGCTTATTTGCTCTTTTTTTTTGTTTCTTATTTCAGTGACAGATGTTTTTTTCCTTCTTTAATGGGAGGGTATGAATGCATTTGAGGACGACTGTAATATAACACACGCACATCATTGTCAGTCATTATGTCCCTACTTTGTCACAGTACGATGGTCAAAGGAACAAGCTGGTAGCCTGCGACGGCAACAAGATCGACACCATGTTTGTAGATCGAAGGAAAGATGGGGGACGGAATGGCCAGACTCTGGTAAAAGCCTGCAGTGCTTTGTTGTTTTCATGCCTTGGGCTAGTGTCGGGATCCAATAAAACTTGTGTCACACTGGTCACGTTACAGTTTGTTCTTGAATTCTGCCGCAGGTCATCTGCTGTGAGGGGAATGCAGGCTTCTATGAGGTGGGCTGCATGAACACTCCACTGGATGGTGAGGACTGCACTACTTTACAACAGTTTCCAAATGTTATATTGGCATTTGTATTTTGTATCAGTCCCAAGGTCTTGTATTTCAATTATGGTTTGAATCTTGGGTTATTGTACTCTGCAGGTGGATACTCAGTGCTAGGATGGAACCACCCTGGCTTTGGAGGCAGTACGGTAAGCAGATTTTGTATTGCAAAGTCAGCATGCAGTGTATTCTGGGCTTCAGTTTACAAACAGTGCAATGGAAAACAACAGCAGGTGGAAAATTCTGGTTTTAGTTGGGGAAGTATTGCACAAGCGGGCATGAACATTCCTAAGATTGACAAACAAGTGAGGAAACTGCGAATGTGTTTTTGCACTTCATAGTTTTGTAAGTGGGATTGAGTGTTACTGTTACTTTGACAACGCATAAATATTGTTGTTTTTTACTTGTTTTTTTTTTTCTTCTTTACATATCTCTCTGCCAGGGAGTGCCATTTCCCCAGAATGAGGCCAATGCCATGGATGTGGTGATCCAGTTCGCGATACACAAACTGGGTTTTCAGCTCAGTGACATTATCATATATGCCTGGTCCATAGGAGGATTCACAGGTACACAAACAATAGATTATCAGGACTTTTTTATTCTAAGTGTGGGTTATTTCATGTAGTCTCTCCATGGTCTTCATTCTTTTTGTTCCCTTTCTGTCTTTGTTTGCTGTTTTAGCCACTTGGGCAGTGATGTCATACCCAGAGATCCAGTCAGTAGTGCTGGATGCCTCTTTTGATGACCTCCTGCCTCTGGCCCTCAAGGTCATGCCTGACAGCTGGAGTGAGTCCTTGCAGTTAAACATCATAAACTATTCATTAATTGCTTTCAGCAGACTGTTTTATGCATCTTTGTTGTCTTCCAGGACCGTTGGTGCAGCACACAGTTAGGCAATACATGAACCTCAACAATGCAGACCAGCTTCTCAAGTGAGTGGGGAGGACTGATTCTAGTAAAACTAATCGTGAAATGTTTGAGTCGGTAAATATTATGCAATACAGTGAGCAACAGTGAAACTTGAACCTGTTGTTTGGCATTACTCATAGTGATGTTACTGATAATTCTCTTCCTTCAGATACCAGGGACCAGTCCTGCTGATCAGGAGAACCAGAGATGAGATCATTACCACAACGTGAGTCCCCATAGTGCGTCTTTAAATCTCTCAGGACCAACCAAAGTAAAATGTCAGCAGGAAATATTTTGGTTGACAGGATTTTGTATTTTTAAAGTATGGAACCAGTGGAGTTTTTTCTTGAAGCAATTTCACCTGTCAACCATTGGGATTGATCAACAGTGGAGTTTTTCCTTTAAATAATTTCCCGTTGTGTGAACATCTAAATACAGCAGTTAAAAATAAATGTTTGATCTTGCTAACACTGTTGTTAAATAGGTACATTATAGTAAAAGCTTGGAATTATTACAACACGTGATCGACTTAAAGTATTTGTTTTTATTCTTAAATACCCTCTTGTTCATATATCACACCATCAAATGAATGAATGGCAGAATCAGACTGCTACCTGTAGATTATTATCGTTTAAAAAAAGAACATGTACATTTTAAACACATCTCAAATTTAGCCCCTAAAACACAAAGATTTCAGGCTCTACAAAACCAGAAGCTGAATCCCCAAAGAAGGTCCTTCAAAAAACCACATGATTAAAACACTGAATATAACAGGTATCGTGAACTTTTATACTTTATACTGGCACAAACAAACACACTTACACATTTACTGTTTTTATTCTCCATTGCAGTTTCCTTACCCCTTTTTTGTTAAATCATCTTATTGAATTTGTTTATCACTATATTTCTTCTTTTAGATTTTTCTTTTAACTGCAGCATCTTTGCTGCATTGACAATATTGGTAACCTGATATTCATGTCAGTTCAACATATGGAACCACAGAAAAGAGCACACCCCTGTGCATTATCAGAGCACCTTGGAAATACTTGCTTCACTTGTAAGCTGAACAGTCAGGAATGAGCTCCTATGTACAATCAGAAACCAGCAGTTTAGATTTACTACATTAACAGAACAGGGCCCATAGTAAGAACTCGGTATGTGCACCTTAATAACTGATGATAGACTCAAGCCTCCTCGGCATCAAGGGTACCAGAGTTGCACACATTTCTGTTCTTTCACACACTTTAATTTTGCAGTTTTGTGCTGAAGAGCGAGCAAGGCCTTTTTTTTCTAGAAGTTAACATCATGCGATGTCCTTCACGCTGACTGAGCTGTCGGAGAAACTAAGTTTGTGTGAAATCATCCAGGAGATTTCCATTGATAACTACTGTCCCTCGTCGACATATTCTGATTACTGTGACAGCTGCGTTTCCACTGGTTTTTGCTTCTTCCTGTGTCATTTTCCATCTTCAAGTCTCACAGTCACATCTTTTAAATCTACTGGCAGTTGTTCTCAGTGTTGAGCCATGATGCAGACATGCAGGGAGAAGCTGCTCATCAGTTTAAACTGAGAGAGTTGTGGTGCTCACAGGCCATTTCATAACCAGCATGTTCATGTGATTAGACGAAGTAAAAGTCCAGGTGTTTTCACTTCGCTGGCATTGAGTTTCTACTGTGGGATCTTCATTGTCTGTAGTCTTCCTAAAGTATTTGTTTTAGATTCTTAATAAGAGGAAATACTCCATTTGTCGACTTTAAAATCATGCAGTTATTGAGAGCTGATATATTAACACATAAATGATATTGTATCAATATCTGTTGTATACTTCTTGGATATTGATCCACAAAAAATGAGTCTCTCTCATTTTTGGTTCATATTCTTTAAATATGGTTGGACTGAGGAGATTTGCTTTTTTTTTTTCTAGTATTGCACCACTCAACATCTGTTCATGTCTGTGAAACAAACCAGCACTTTCAAAGTACTGTTGGCAAAACAGCAGCTCTCACAAAACGTCCAGCAGTAAAGGCTCAAGTTCACCTGAATCATAGAACAACATGTTTCTTCTATTAGCAGTATTTAGGATTGCATATATTTTTTATATTTATTCATTGTTTAATGTGACAAGTTGTTGAATTTTGTTGTGTACATTTGTGTGCACAGCAAAATAAATCCATGATAAAAAGCAACAAAGTACTCAAGTACTGTACTTAAGTACAATTTTGAGTTACTTCAATTTTACGTGAATATTTCAACATCTAAGTACTTCTCTGTCCACGTATCCCCAACTGTGTCTCGGTAAAAAAAAAAAAGAAAAAAAAGAAATCTCAAATATATGTAGTCACATTAAGTTTTTTCTGTGTTGCAGGGGTCCAGAGGACATCATGTCTAACAGGGGCAACGACCTCCTGCTCAAACTGCTCCAATTCAGGTGGTCTCCTCATCTTCAGATCTTTCATTTTAGTATTCTCACTGCTGGAACCCCTCAACCCCTCTTTGAGTAACGCATATATAATCGGCAATGTCATTTTTGTTGCCAGGTACCCCAAAATAATGACAGACGAGGGGATCCGAGTTGTCAGACAATGGCTGGGAGCCTCCAGTCAACTAGAAGAAGGTGGGTGTGTCCATGTCTGCATGACATCTTACATTTTAATTTCACTACATGAAAAATATGGAACTTAATGTGTTTTGCTCAAAGCAAGGACACGACTTACAAGAAACTGCGTGTAATGCCACTTCACCCTTGCTCTGTAGCATCTGTGTACAGCGGCTATGAAGTGGATGACGACTGGTGTGTGTCTGTGCTGCAGTCCTACCAGTCAGACAGGGATGTTTTTTATCCGTGGAGTGTTGGTAAGCCACGGTTTTGTTTTTTTCCTCACATTTACCGGGCAAATAAACTCCACACAGTACCACCTAGAAAACACACACACACACACCCCCAGTGTTCTTATACACTCTGACTTGATGTTACCAGGTGAAGATATGACTGTGGAGGGAAGGCGGCAGCTGGCTCTTTTCTTGGTAAGGAAGTATTCCAATGTTATCTCCGCTCTTCATCTTAGTGTGTTTACTTGTTGTTGTTCTGTCTAGTTTAAAGGGCAGCCATTTGTCTTTATATCATCTCTCAAAGTCAGATTTTTACACATTCTGTTTCTCTCATCCTCACCCAGTTTCCTTCTTTCAGGATCTTTTACCTCCCCCCCTCCTTACACTCCCAAGAAAAACAGAACAACCCAAACATATCACAGCTATTCAGACATCATTACCACGAAGGAACACTTTCCCGGTTGCCATAGTAACCAACTCACCTGTGCTCTCAGGTTGACTGGTGTAATATATTTCACTGCGCTCAGCTTATTGAAGTCATTTAACATCAAACAAGAGGAGTGCCATCAATTACATCTAATGCTATGCTTCTCCTCCCCTGCTAATGCCTTCTAAATTAGGCTTTATTCGCCTCCTGTGTAACCCCTAAGAGCTTGGCAAGATTTTTTTAAGGCACTGAGCCAAATAGACCAAAAGTCATATAATCAAGTTCTGCACTTTTTTTTTTTGTTCATTGCCCTCCTACACCTCTCACTCTCCGTCCCTGCTGTCTTTTCTCTCTCTCTCTCCAAGGCACGGAAGTACATGCAAAACTTTGAGACAACACACTGCACTCCTCTCCCTGCCACCGAGTTCCACTCGCCCTGGAGACTGTAAAGGAAGAGGAGGGACGAGGGGAGGGATGGATGAGGGGACATCAACAGCCGAGGATTTGGATTGCGTGTGGACAGTGTGTTCCTGGCATGGTGTGAATGTACTACTGTGATTTTGATATTTTTCTAAGACAGATTTTGTTGTCACGTACAGTGTTGCTGCAGTGGCATCTTGAAAGCTATGGTCTCGCGGTCCCCTCCCCGCCAAACACTTGTAAAATATGGTACATCTTTTGTGTTACCGTCATTGTTTAGTCATTCTTTTCAGTGTCCTCTCCTTAAAGGTTGCAATTTTTTTTGTGTGTGTTAATGCACAAGCCATTACTCATTACTTCCATTTGCCTCTCTTTGGCTGTATTTGTAAAGCAACTGTAAGTAGAAATACATTGCAACAGTTTAACCAATAAATAAAGAAAAAAAAAATCCTCATGTTGTCAGAAGAATGTTTAAAAATGCAGCCAAAATGTTGGTTTCAGGTTCATTTCTTTTCTGTGGGCACTGTGTTTTTGAAAACAAAACAACTGTATCCTAAAATGATGGTCGTAAGTGTCCTATGAAATATGCTGAATAAAAATTCAACAGAAGGGATTTAATTCTTTTGTTCATTACGGGATACAAGTGTTCAGCAAATTGCACAGATATACAAGGGCATTAGATTAATAGATTGCTTCAGAACAGCGCATCCCTGAAGACACTTGTCTAAGAGCTTTATTGAAGTCCTTCCACGCTACAATCAACTTGAAAAATGAATATGAAAATTAACACAATGACATGAAAAAGTGGAAACAAATCTTGATTTACATATTGGTGAGGGGGGAGTTACATCATTTTCCTGAAGTTTTCCACTGCTTCTTTCACTTTCTCAAGTTCAGTTTGGCTCTGCCGTAGCTGTGAAGGAAAGGAAAGTTATTGTTTACTGAGAATTTAAATGCCTTAAAGTCTTAGAAACCATTAAATCAATTTCTTTTTCCCACCTTCTCTGCATCTTGCTCCTGCACCTTCGCTGGCACCTTCTCTTTGTAGTCACTCTTCCCCATATTCTCTCTCAGTTTCTCCATCTGTTTCTCCAAGTCACCTTTCTTTGTCATCAGTTTTGCCACTTCCTTCTCCACGTCAATGAGACCCTGGGGAGCAAAAAAAAGTGAAGTAATGACAAGTACAAACAGCTGAAAATGATAATCTTGGTAAACCAGGTCAGCAGAGGAGTAGCCGAAGAAACACTGAGCACAGATTCAAGTG